AGAGCGGTACGTACCTGCCTCCTCCATGAGAAGCGAGTCTTGGCCATGGTTTCTCATCATGACATCCTTGGTACATGAGCTGACTTATTCTGGTTCACGAGTAACCAAGGGCTGCTGGGAGGAGAACGACCCCCCTGCTCCCACCTGTGGTCACCAGTTTCCATCCCTGGGCTTTGCAGCAGTTCCCCTGCGCCATAACCGCCCCTGGTTTGTTTCTGCAGTTCCTGCCGAAGAACCTGCACTTGGTGTGTGTTGACATGCCCGGGCACGAGGGCACGACCCGCTCAGCCTTGGATGATTACTCCATTAGTGGGCAAGCTAAGAGAATACACCAGGTAATGCCCCAGCATTGCATCGCCTCTGCAGAGGGATGCAGGGACATGAGGGATGCTAAGCCCCATGGGCCCTGCCTCATGCGGCCCCGCTCCCTCCCTTCCCAGGCAGCCAGAGCCACCAACCTCAAGCTTTTCTGCTGAATTTCTCTAATGACCCCATGCGGTTGCTTCCTCTCCCCTAACAATGCTCCTTCTGCTCCCCTGCCAGTTCGTGGAGTGCATCAAGCTGAACAGAAAGCCGTTTCATCTGGTTGGCACTTCCATGGGGGGAAACGTTGCCGGCGTCTATGCTGCCCAGTACCCAGAAGACATTTGCAGCCTGACCCTCATCTGTCCTGCAGGTGGGCACTGCAGGGGACACGAGATGGGGAGAGGGCAAGCAGGAGCCGGTGCAAAAGCCCAGAGCAGCGCTGGGAGCAAAATAGACTTTTAGTGCAAAGCATTTTGAAATAATTTGTATGTACAGTCTGAAAATCTCTGGCAGGGCATGGGAGGAAATCACAGCCTTGTCCTGACTGCTCTTCTCCAGGGCTTTGGAGTTTGCCACGCTATGCTGTGGTTAAAGCTGGGACTAGGGCAAATGGGACAAGTCCTGCTCTGGAAGAAAATGTGTTTCCCCTCGGGGTGGCAGCTGTTTTACGTGGCACATCTGTAGCCTCTTGGTTCTGGAGGGGCAATCCAGGCAGCAATGGGAAAAGCCTCCCCAGCCTGGCTGCTTGAGACCCCCAGTGTGCTGGAGGGCTGGGGCTTCGGGAGCTGGAGAGCTCCGTCCTCCCACGTTTAGGTGCTCCCCTGTTTGGGTGCTCCCCTGTTTGGGTGCTCCAAGCAGGAAGAGCGCTTTGGGGACGGGCGCAGGTCAACAGGGTGTCCCTGTGCCCACGCAGCACCCCTCCATCTCCATCGTCCCCTTGGCTGGGGGGCTCTGTGGAGCCTGGGTATGACATGCAGCAGGAGGCACGGGGGTTTGGCAGGGAGCTTCTCTGCTGGGGAGGGCTTTGCTGCATCCCGGTTGTTATAGCAGCTCCTTCCCCCTCCCACGCAAGGAAATTGGCTCCCAGATAAGAAATAAGTAATGAAGCAAAGCGAATGTTACCTAGCTACCAGGTTCTGGGGGTGGCAAAATTCCCCCTCCTCTCTGGGAGAGGTGTCAGCTGACTGTCCGGGTGTTTCTGGATGTGAAACCTCTGTGTGGGGGCTGCAGAGAGGTTTGGGGTTAAGCTGCTGGGGGATTTTGCCCTGCAGTGGTGCATGTGCATGGAGCTTCTGAAATCTTCAACCCTCTTCTGTGGCAGGCTGGGCATGGGCACTAGTATTTGCATCCGCTGTCCACATAAAAATAAACACTATAGCTTTTGCCGAAGAATTCATGCCTGTCTACAGGGAATATACCTTGTGTTGCATCAGCCCACGAGGCTCAGTGGTGTCAAGCCCTGGAACAGGAGGAGGCTGGGGTACCTCTGGGTACATATTAAGGTTGCTGTATGTACAGACTTTATTTTCCCCCTGTGCTTTTTTTTTTTTTTTTAAATGATTGAACAAGCAGCAGGCCAGAGGCAGGGATGATGGAGGTCAATACAGCAATGCTCTGTCGCTAGGCCTGTTGAGGTCTCATCCAGATTTTAGCTTGTGCCCCCCTTCTCGTTTGACCCAGGCCTGCCGAGTACCACTGACAGCAAGTTCATTAAGCAGCTCCGGGAGCTGCAAGAGTCTGAACGCATCGACAGGATCCCTTTAATTCCCTCGACTCCCGAGGAGATGGCGGATATGCTGAAGCTTTGCTCCTACGTTCGCTTCAAGGTGCCGCAGCAGGTGAGGAGCCTGGGCTGGCTGTGGCACCCAGGAAAGGGAGGCACAGGGGTGGGGGGGCAGGTTTGCTTCTCCCCAAGCCTGCGTGGCGGCAGCCGAGGCGATGCCGGGAGCGGAGCCAGTGCTGCCATCCCCCCATCACCCAGCCGGGACACCCCCGGCCCTGCTCCCAGCACCTTTCCAGCACTTTCCCTTCAAACCCACTTTTCCCAGCTCCCTCCGGCAGCGCCCGCTGAAATTCCTCCTCCCATGAGGTCTTTGGCAGCAGGCTGGCGTATCGAACGGTTTTTTAGTAAATATGACTGGCAGGAAGCATTAAAAAACTAAGGCGGCTGTTGTCTGGCCTGGAGGGGGATTGTTTGTTGCTATTTAAGCAAAAGCGATGGAAATGTTAATCACCTCATTGTCAGGCGAGAGGAACTTGGCAAGGGGCTCGCCATTAAGCTGGTTTTCCTTAGGAAGTCTGAGATGAGTAGATTGTAGAGTAAGAAAAAAATGTAAGGTAACGCCAAGACCTTTTTTTTTGGTGGCAAAAGAATAAAAGAAAGAAGAAAAGCACAGTCATGGCTGAGGTGGCAGCAGGCTGTGGATAGCTGGCCTGGGGGAGAAATTCGGGTTTGCATCATAAAAGACAAAACCACTTGTTGCTGAAATACATGTTACTTAAGCACGGTTGCAACAGCCAGATGTGCTTAGGAAGGAGCTCGCGCCGGGGCCAGGCTGCGCAGGGCATGTTGGGGTGGTGGGGGCGTGCTCCCGGCCCCCTGCCACACACGGGGTGCTCTCGGGCACGCTCAGCCCTGTGTGGAGCGTGGATCCCCCTCCCCAGCAGCTCTCCTCTGCTCTCCCTGCAGATCCTCCAGGGCCTTGTTGACGTTCGCATCCCACACAATGATTTTTACCGGAAACGTAAGTGTGCGGCAGCAGCCCCTCTAGCCAGGCTTTCCAGCCAGACCACTGGGGCATGGGGACAGGCTGTCCTCAGCCCCCATGTCCCCTGCACGCCGCCTGACCCCAGCACCCCCCTGCTGCCTTGCTTGAGGGTGGGAGGGGGCAATGTGATTAAGAGATTTGGGGATGCATCTTGGTCGCTGGTAGCAACCCACTGCCACCCCTGCGGGCGGTGGAGTTGCTGCTTCGCCCTCACCCTCCCAGCTGGGTTAATTAGTATGTTTATTAATATTAAGTTATAGTAATACCTATGAGGAGATGGGCTTGGAGGAGGATCTCTCTGTAGCGGGGCTTGGTGGCAGTGCAAGGACAGCCCATCGGGTCTCTCCCTGTCACTCCTGCCTGGGGTTTCCCACTGAGGGGATGCTGGCAGGGCTGGCCCGCAGGGGCCCCTGCGAGAAGGGAAGGCAAAGCATCCTTCTTGCATAGGACTGACTCTCTTCTTGCCCCTACTAGTGTTTTTAGAAATCGCAGATGAAAAGTCCAGGCACTCTCTCCATGAGAACATGAGCAAGATCAAAGCACCAACGCAAGTCATCTGGGGAAAGCAGGACCAGGTACACGGCCCCCTCCACCTCCCCCGTGGGACCGTGCCTCCATCTCTGCCTGTGTCCACCCGCAGGAGCACGGCACGGGCTGTGCTGCCAAGCTGTGCACTGCTCTGCAGCGAGCTGGCACACGTGTGTCCCCATCCCCGGCGGGTTTGGACACGGGGGCTTGGTGGCGTGATGGGTGGAAAGCTGCCAGCCAGCGCAGGGCCAGAGAGAAGAGAGGGCAGAGCTGGGCTGGGGAGGGCAAGGGGGTTGGGGGGGGCAGGTGCCAGCGCCATGGCAGGCGTGGGCTGGGAAGACGAATAAAGTGCCAGCAAAGAGAGTTGTCCTGGCAACTGGGGAGAAATATGCTGTCTGTGGGCAGGCGGCGAGGCGGAGGCATGGGGCTTCCATCTCTTGTTCCATGTTTCTGTGTAGGGATGGTTATGGAGGGAGGAGCGGGGGTGGCGGGAGGAAGGAGGCAAGCTGCAGGCATGAGAAGAGCTGTGCAAATGCAAAGGTGCAAGCGTTTGCTTGCAATGACCCCTTTGCACTGAGCTGGCAGCCAGAAAGCATCTAAGAGAGTTCCCTGCAGCATACTGAGACTGGCACCGTGCAGCCTCCCTGCCCTGTCCCCAGACGTGGGTACCGCGGGACGGGGCTGTCATCACAAGGACCATGTCCGCATCCCTGCTCAGCATCTCACTTGGACTTGCAAAGGCAGCTCCAGTGGGGTTTCTACGGTGGCCAGCAAAACCTAGCTCTGCCCGTGGGAGTGACTATTTTTTCCCCTGCCACCCAGGTCCTGGATGTTTCTGGAGCCAGTGTTCTAGCGAGCGCTATCCCGGACTGCCACATGTACATCCTGGAGAACTGCGGGCACTCGGTGGTGGTGGAGCGGCCCCGCAAGACAGCCAACCTCATCCTGGAGTTCCTGGCACTGCTGCACAGCATGGACAACAACAAGAAGCAGGCGTGAGCGTGGCGGCGAGCCGAGTGCCCACGCCAGGTCTTTTAAATTGTAAAGTACTGCAGCTTTGATAAGTTCTCAGGGATCTTGTATGAATCGGCGGGGTGAATGTGCCAAAGTCCCTGAGGAAGGCAGAATGACTGATACCTAAACCTATAGCACCACTGGCAAAGCGACCTAGGGGTCATTGAGCAACCTCCATAGATACAGGAACGGAAGCAGAATCTCTCCCTTTTCTACTTAGAGGTAAAGTAGGAACGAGCTGAAATCACCAAGCGCTAGCCAAGCAGTGTGCTGAAGCTCTCACGCAGCCGCCCATCTTACCCGAGTTACCGGCACGTAGTTGTTAATGACATTTACCTAAACTATATAAGAAACGTAGGAAGGAGGAAGCGTCCTGGACTGAGACTTACAATATTTCTACTACTTAGAGTCTGTCACGTTGCATGCTGCCGTGCTGTAAGAGAACCCCAGTGCTCCAGGCGTCTGCTCGAGTGCTCTTTGTGTAGCTCCTTAACTCGTGACTTATGCAGAAAACAACAGAAAACTTCATGCGTGGAAGTCCAATGACTGTATGTGCAAAAATGTTTACACTTTGAGTGGGTTTTTTTAAATCCCCGAACAGCTCCTGCGTATATGTAATGCCTTAACATTGCCCAGGGTACAGCGCCTGTGCACAGCCCGCCTCGCCCAGGGGATGTTTCCCCCTGAGAGTGAACATAGCAAGTGAAAACTCGGGGTGCAGACAGCAGCTTTGCCACCGTTGTGCGAACTGGAGGGATGGAAAACTCCCGGAGTGATTCAGTCCCTGAGCCGGAGTCAGCAATAAGCCCGTGGGCAGGGTGCGAGTCAGCAAACTCGGGCAAACTCTTGTCTCAGCTCTTCTATCACGTCGTGCTGCTGAACTCATTGATGTAAATAACAATTTTCTTAATGAATTCCATGAATTCTATGAATGCCAATGTCACCGAAACCAGGCGTGAGGGGTGGGAGTGGGCTGTGTATGCGAATAGCGCGGGGGTGCGGGCTCCTGAGCTCGCTGGGCGTCGAGGAGGGGGACAGCTCGCCTGCGAGGCGCTGAGTGGTGGCGTGGAAACATACGGTGTGCTTGTGCGTCCTCTTGATGGTTTATAGCTCCTGACTGAGTGAAATTATAGATAGAAGCAGGCAATGCAGACAAGCTACGCTTTGCAGCCTGCAAGGTGATGTATGGGGGCAGATCCTGCACCTCCCTGGGTGCAGTCCCTCGCCACGTGTCCCAGGGCGAGAGGGCTGGTCCTGGTCTCAGCAGGACAAATGGCTGCTGGAGGGCAAGGCGGTGTGTGGTCCTCTCGAAGGCAAAGCAGCAGGCGGCCGTCACCCCTCAGTCACCCCCAGCCCTCCTCGGGGGTTGACACTGGGTGCTGCTAGAGCCCTCCTGCAGACCAGGTACGCGCGCTTGCGGGGCTGACAGCCATCTTCTTGCTGTCTTTCTGAGGTATCCCAATCTGTACATATATCTGAAACTCCCCATCAGCTTCTCTGCTCTTTTTGAGAGAAGAAACATTGTTCTTTTAGAAAATTAGAAATTTGCTGTTAATGGCTTGGTTATTGTTTCTACTACAGGAGTTGACTAAAAAAATAAATTGCTGATAGTTTTATGTGGTAAAAGCCAGAAGAAGTTGTTGGGTATCTATATGGTTTCTCGTATGCCACAGATTGCTGTATGCAAAGGGTTTATATGGCTATTAAAATCTAGTGATTTAAGGTGTCTGCCATGCAATGATTAATTTTTCCTTTGGGGATGGAAGGGGCTGTGGTGTAGGATGGTGCACAGCACAGGGGACTTGCTCTGCTGCTTCTTTCCTCCCCGCATTTCTGGGAGATGCAGGTTTTGCCTCGAGGACTACTTAATAGCGTCAAGAAAGATGGTGAAGACCGGGAAGGCTCGTGTCTCATCTCTTCAAAGACAACGGGAGTTTTGCTTTTTTTATTAAGAGGAGGTGGCCCTAAACACTCAAGAAGCAAAATAAAACCTCAAGGGGCAGGGGAGTTAGGTTTTAAGCACAAAGATTCCTCTTTAAACTCTTGAAAGCGTGTTAAATACCAATTTCAGCTGTAATTGCAAGTCTTACTGAATTCATAGTGTGCTGGGAATAGCATTACATCAATATCCAGGCAAAAGTATTTGCATTTCTGCTTTCCCCAGGAGGCTGCTTTGTGTGACAGAAGAGCTGCAGGGAAGGCTGGGGAGCATCCTCCTGGCACCTTGTCCCCCTGCCCGGGCCCTGCTGCGGCACCCTGGCTGCACTGTAATGCAAAGGTCGAGGTGAGGATGGCTCTGGGAAACCTAATAATTACTGCAGCGCAGGGGGCCTCTCACTTCTGGGCAGGGGCTGGGATGGCTCAGGGTGTCTGCATCACGCGTTGCAGCCTCTCATAAGGCTGCAGGCTGTTCGGTAACAAAAATCCCGGGTGTATTTGGGAGGGGGTGTCTGGCTGTTGGCCCTGCTCGCCCCAGCTGCATGGTCGATGGCGGCTGCCGCTCTCTCCTGCATGCTCCGGCTGTGCCCGTGCAGAAGCCGGCCCCGTAGCAGCAGCTGAGCCCACTGAGGAGAGGCAGTGAGGGAAGCTGCCTGCACCTGGAAACACACCTGAAAGCACACCCAATAACACTGGTCGCTATTCCCACTAACCCTCATTTCCATCTGGGAGCCAGAAAAGCCCCACACCATGGCCCTGTGGCCCTGGCTGCAGGGCAAGGGCTGCTCTCGTGTTTTCAGCTGCTGCCCCCTTGGCACTGACCCCCCCTGTGAGCCCCAGCCACCCCCCAGGTAAGGCTGCGTCCCTGGGCTGCGCGTGGGGCTCGGGAAGGGGCAGAGGCTCCTGCTACTCCCAGCGGGTTTGTCTGTCCTGTGGGCAGGGCTGGGGGAACCACAGGGAAACCAGTGGATCCCAGTCACAGAGAGCCTGGGCACTGGGAACCTGCACATAGCCTGAGCATCCTGGTGTGGCGGGAGGGAGTTTGCCTTTTGGTTTGTTGCCCAGTGTTTAAGTGTTGCTTTCCTTGTAATTATGTGAATAAACCAGGTCTGGGCTGGGGCTGGGCTGGGCAGCAAGGCACACGGCAGCAGAGGCTGGTATAAAAGCTAAGTAAGAGGAATCAGCCCTTGGCTGTTATGGGTCTTGCAAAGGCTGATTCGCTGTATCCTGAAAAGAGGTTGCAAAACACAGCAGGACCGGCTCGCTAATAAACCTAATGAGCAAGCTGTTTTGCTGCTCAGCATCCAGGTCCATGGTGGTGCCTGTTGCCCCGCTCCCAGGGTGTCGGTGGGAGCACGAGGGACAGAGCTGGTGGCAGCTGCTCCCAGGCACTTGGTAGGTGCCCAGCTGCTGCTGAAGGGGAAAATGCGGTGCCCCTGAAACATGGGCAGCCAGGGAAACCTGGGCTGGGTCCTGCTCTGCACAGCTGCAGCCAGATGTTTGTCTGCAGTAGGGAAGCATCTTTCTCCCTTTTCTCCAGCAAAGGAGAATAACATCATCTGCTGCCTTGCGAGAGAGTTTCACCAGTGCAGCTCTGCACAGAGCATCCTCTGACAGGCGGAGCAATGCTCAGGGTGTCTGGCACTGTGGTTTGGGTGTGGGTGTCCCCCACCCCAGCAGCCCATCACCCAGCCGAACCTTCCCCTGACTCAATGTGTTTCACAAGCCTCTTGGACACAAACCGTCTTTTTCCCATGGAAGCCTGGGTGGGAGCACCCTGGGCACGGCCCCTCTCACCCACTGTGGGAGGGGGCACCGCAGCCTCCCCACCCGTGTCCCTGCACGCCAGGGCACAGCAGAGGCACGCGTTCCCCATTACGCCTGTAGCTGCCCTGTGATGTGGCAAGGGTCCCCTGCCTGGACCCTCCAGCTGAGACTTATGGCGAATGCAAGGAGAACATATAGGATCTAGTGGAGGGTTTTGGTTGTTTTTCCTTCTGGGCAGCCCTTTTTCAAACACCAGCTTCTTGGGGGTCGTTTGGGATTATTCATTGAATACTTGCTGGGCCACTAGTACTCGATGGCTTCTCCCTGCCATTCCCTGCCCAACAGCGCTGCCTGCTGCCTCCTGCCTGCAGCACGCAACACAGAGCGAGCCTTGATTTTCCTATTCTTACAAGAAAAACTTTGTCGTCAGTCATCTCAACAGGGTCAGTGCCTTTTTTTTTTTTTTTTTTAATGCCCAGCAAACAGCTGTGAACAGGGTGCTCTGACAAGGGCTTTGGCTGCTGCCTGAAGATGGGTGCCCAGCAGAGATGGTGACATCACGCTGCTTTCTGAACCCCACTCTTCCCCAGAAACTCCTATTTCACTCTGGAAGGCAGGACCCACGCACAGCCTTGCTGTGCTGATCTATCTATTGTATTTGTTTTTTCTTGCATTCTGGGAAAAGCTGGACGGGAGCATTGGGTGAGGTGGCAGGTTTCCGGTAAGGGCACAGGGATTTGAGCTTCTCCCCTGGGTCTGCAGGGCTTGGGCTGGGCTCTGGACTGCCTCGGTGTAGGCAACCTGCATTCCTTGGGTGGATAACAGAAAGTCCTTGCAAGGCACAGGCAAATGCAGCTGCAGGGGAGACTTCATGCAGGTCTGCCTTGGCCACTGTCTTTGCCACCCAAGCGTTGGGGAAGCACAGGAGAGCTCAGGTACCAGGTCAGAGTCTGTGCCTGTGCCCTGAAGGGGCAGCCTGTGCTGCTCCACAGCCATTTCATGGGATTGTGGTAATGTAGGGCTGGGGGAAACCTTGAGAGATCATCCAGGCCATCCCTAGATCGACTGCTGCGTCAGCCCAGAGTGACCACACTGGTCTTGGACACCCCACCACAGCTCCCTGGGAGCTGCTAGGCTCACAGAGCATCCTAATGAGTAGCCTGAATCTCTGCTGAAATTTAAGCTTATTACTTCTCCTATTTCCATTGGATGCTGGGAGTGTGTTCCTAACTCCCTGCAGCACCCTCTTGCATGTTCACAGACTTGCTGTGTCCAGAACAAAATCCTGCAGGCTCTGCCAGTTGCTCCTCCTGTACCTGGAGGGGTAATGCAGGCAGCTGGGCACAAACTCCAGGCTCAGGCTTTGCTGGCTTCAAACACTGGGTGTCTTGCTTCACGAATATGTTAAGAGCAAACATCCCAGTCAGCTTGGTTTTAAAATAAATAAATAGTAACAATAACCACCCCATCCCACCCCCCCCGAATGATGTTGCTGAGGCTATGATTCACCCTTTCCTGCAATCTTGCTCTCTAGCCTGCCTTTGCACAACTGATTATTCATACCGCAGAGCAGAATCCTGCATTGGTCTGTCCAGAATTACACCCTCTCGTTTTTTTGTCTATTTGCCAAATTCATCTGTATCCTACCGCAGCTCTCTAGTGCATCCCCCTGGGGTGGTCTCAGCTGTGCATTCATCAAGCACCTTGTCCCCATCCTCCAGCTCAATTAGTGAGCTACTGATGGAGCTGTGGAAAACTGTGTATCTCCTTCCACTGCCACAGGGAACCACCGGTAATGAGGGAGAATAATTTTGCCACATGTTTTCCAGCCACCTTGCAGGCCGGGTTAATCTCAAATTTCCTTATTCTTTCATTGGAAATGACACCATTTCACTTGCCAAAAAAACAGCTAAAGAAATACAGTCCCTACTGCTCTCTTTGCCCCAGGGGCCTGTTACCCTATTGCAAAAGAAAATTGATTTGGAGTAACACGAATAATTCTCGTGCTGGTTTCTAGGTGCTTTGCATCCCCTTTCCCAAGCTGTTCTGGGACACCATGGGGGCCACCTCCAGGTCTGATGCCTGGAACAGCCACCCACCTTAGGGGAAATAACCCTTGGTGGTGGCCGGGAGGTTAGGAAATATTTGGAGTCCTGGCTTTGACCCTGTAGGCAGGAAAGAGGTCACTGGCCTGTTTGGAGAACTAGGTGAAGGTTGGCCTTTGGAGGACAAGCGGGGCTGCTTGGGGCCACAGATGTCGAAGACGGGGACCCCACGGGCGCAAGCACTCGTGGGGTCCCCGTCTTCGACATCCGTGGCATCCCCACTTTCAACACCCCAGGTCCGCAGCACTTCTGGCGAGGTGGCACCAGGTGGCAGCAAGTGACCAGCATCGG